TTTTATAAAGGACATGAATATTCTATTGAGGCCGTTAGCATCTTTTTTAAAGGCCATAAATTTTTATTTATTAGGTATCTTCTTTTTTTTCACAGAAAATAAGCAATACAGTTTTATAGAGGACCACAGCTTGTCGTTGAGTTTTTATATACAATAATAAATCAAAATATACGTTGAAAGGGGACTGTTATATTTTTTTTGTGACCAAACTTAGATGCTAGGTTTGATCTTAATAGCCGCGTATTATATCGGACATCAAATTTCCAAATACAATATACGGTTAATAGGTTCTCAATTGTTTAGCGCCGCGTCCGACAATCTCGCTTTAGCGATCGACTTCTTTCAGTCGATCAACTTTGAGCGCGTTAACGCTTTGGGCGACGCCATTCGCGCTGCCTCCACTGCACAACACTTTATCGCCGTTGTGCAGGAATACGCCGACGTATACGCGTCATTAAATACGTACGTCCTCCCCTCACTCCGCCGGTAATCAATGGCGTATATAAGTANGGTCGCGATTCCGATCCGGTAGTAGATTCATTCGCGAAACAATTGCTCTTGAGTTGTTAGGTCTCCTTCGGAGGCGCTCGGGCAGTTGTTAGCAAATCCCACCCCTCTTGGCTGAGCCTTTGCTCGCCCACCTGTCCTGGTGAAACTGGAAAGGCCTTCGGGCCACCAGTAAACTTTCAATCATAAAAAAAAAAAAATTGTTTAGCGATACATATAGGTGTACACCTACGGTGTACGGTTTCAGCAGTCTACAGATATTACTGTTCTTCTATGCCACTACTGTACATTGAGTGAGTAGTCCTCCCGATCCACCCTCACACACTAAGGCAGCATCCCTTAGGCTGTTGAAACATCTGAAATATGTACAAGTCTAATATATTCATATTCCGTCATCTTTCAGAGAACTGCGCCCTTCCTACGGGCCCTTGTAAATGAAAACCCCATTGCAATTATAAATTCAAAGAGATACTAGGTATAAAGAGATTTGATATTATAAGACGCATTTTTGTGAATCAAATACAAAATGATTTGCAGCGAACCAGTCGTGTATATTTTAGTGTACTATTTACGTTCTTATACTCCACTGAGAAAAAAGAATGTCAAAGTCTCAAAAACTGATATTAATGAATCGATTCTCAAATTTTTTAGCCGCAACTTATAATTGCTTCACCTTAGATATAGACAAAGGGGTGTATTTTTTTTTATTGCTTTGATGGGTGGACAAGCCCACAGCCCACCTGATGTTAAGTGGTTACTGGAGCCCATAGACATCTACAACGTAAATGGGCCACCCACCTTGAGATATACGTTCTAAAGTCTCAAGTATAATTACAACGGCTGCCCCACCCTTCGAACCGAAACGCATTACTGTTTCACGGCAGAAATAGGCAGGGTAGTGGTTCCTACTCGCGCGGACTCACAAGAGGTCCTACCACCAGTATACTCATGGTAAGTCCTTAAATAGACAAGTAAATTACGAATTTAACAAAAATTTAAACACCATTTACTATGAAAACGGTTCACGTCATTGAATAATTATTCTTCTCCCTCTGAGCTCGAACAATTATTACGAATCCTGCCGAGAGATTTCTGGAACATTAATTTTAGTTACAAAAAAACCGCATTTTTCAACAATCATTAAGCGGCCGAAGAACAATGAAAGCATTAATTTTAACGAAAACATTTTAGATAATGAAAAGGTTTTCACGTAATAATTTTGATACGTTTATCTCCATTAATTTTTAGAGGCTTATTTAATGTGTTTTAATAAATTTGCGTTCGAGCAATTGAATAAAAGATTTAATGATACAAATTTCTAATGTCATTAACGTGTTCTTAAATATATCTTTAAATATGTAAATTTTAATTTGGAGCTGACAAATTGAGCAAACATTTTCAATATTTGAAGTCGTCGCGGCCTAAAGGATAAGACGTGGCGCATTTACGTCCTAGATGTCTATGGGCTCCAGTAACCACTTAACACCAGGTGGGCTGTGAGTTCGCCCACCTACCTAAACAATAAAAAATAAATAATATATATATACTCAGGACTGTGGCTTTTTTTGGAACCGGTGGTAGAGTTAACATTGCTATTTATATTTTGACATTCAACAAGTGTGTTATGCTGACATCTAAGTTGAAATAAATGATTTTGAATTGGAATTTGAACCAATCTCATGTCATGGAGCTTGGTGTGGGGAGAGTAGATTTCAGGCGTAGGTCCCCCCCACCAGTAATTACCCAAATTATAGTCTTTGCGGGATTTTTTTTTACGCGGTACCCTTCATCTTGGTAGATATTCGTAAAATTGCGTTAAGTACGTATTTCGTTTAAAAAATGGTGCGAGTATTGAAAATTTGCAGTCGCTTGCTATACAGGCCACCTTATGATTTTGACTGCGACGACCTCAAAAATACTGCAAATCGATAAGTTAAGATATTGAAATCGTATATGTGACGGTTACAAAAAGATTTTTTCGTCAATCTCACTCAGTGTAAATTAAAATAAATTATAAGACTTTCTTATGAATTGCGATAATATATCATGTAACTTCAAAACTATACCAAAAACTATTAAATTTAATCTAAAGTACTAACCGTAAAAAATAATTTTAGGTTTTCATTCTTTTTTCTAAGCATTAACATTAATCGTTGCTTCTAAACGGTGATTTTTCGTTAACATTTTTACACAAAACTGAAATTAAGTTTTACGAGTTCTTTCTTTAAAAGGCCGAAGTTTTTATTGTATTCTTAATTTGTAAAATAATTAAGCATCCGATTTTTATGCTCTAGAATTAAGTGCTTAGGAAAAAGTGATTCAGAAACAAGAAAAATGTGGAGATAAAGAGAGGAAATATGTTTCTGTTTTATTAATAACTGATTACTAACGTATTTTGAGATTACTATTATGTAAGCCTGAAATGTCAACAGTATTTTTTTACTTTTTAATACGCTTTTCTTAGCTTCAGACGTATGTATGTTAGTATGTAACGGAATCTTTGAACATGATTTTGACCCCCTTCAAAGCGTAAGATTAACTCGAAATTTGGTATACTTATTAGGGACTGAGGACAATTTAAAAAAAAAAATTCAACTAAAAAATTAAAAATAACCTTTAATAAATTTGAATTAAAAATAGTATAAGAAAAATTGATCTTATTGTAAAAAAAAGCGTGGGGCTCATGGTGTCACTAGTTATAAATATTTTATGAACAGATATGCTAAGGGTTATTTTGATAATATCCTGAAAAGCACCCCCTTTTTTTTTACAAAATAGAATTTTTTTCTTACACTATTTTTAATTCAAATTTATTAAAATTTATTTTCTATTTTTTAGTTGGATTTTCTATAAAAGCGTATTTTGTTAGTTTTCCTATTATTTATTGCTTAGATGGGTAGACGAGCTCACAGCCCACCTTGTGTTAAGTGGTCACTGGAGCCCATAGACATCTACGACGCAAATGCGCCACCCACCTTTAGATATAAATAAGTTTTATGGTCTCAATATAATTACAACGGCTGCCCCACCCGTCAAACTGAAACGCATTGCTGCTTCACGGCAGAAATAGGCGGGATCGTGGTACCTACCCGTGCGGACTCATAAGAGGTAATCAATCATATCATACATCTTTCATCACAATCAGAACATCAAATGGGCCGTGAATTTATTCTATTTATGATAATAAATGTTGTATATTATCTTTTTTATTCGCTGAATGAAGCAATTTATATACAGCTACTTTTAGAAAAACTGAATACAGTATACGTTCCTTCATTCGTGTTTTCATTATTAGCGGATTAAAAAAAGGCGACTCAATTCCTATGTTTGCGGCTAAAGATTTCTTTATTCGCAGATCCAATCATTACATGAATACATGCACGTTATTAAAAAATGGTTCCGATATCTAGGTATCCCACCGAATTCAGCCGGTACTTGCACAAAATTACCGGAAGGGAACCGACGGCACAGTGCCACCATTGCGCAGACCGCGATGAGGATGACTCAGTGGAACATACCTCAGCGCGTTGCTCTGGATTGGACGTGCAATGCGTTACCCTCGTCGTGGTCATAACAGAGGACATGTCGCTGCCACGTGTCGTGGCTACGATGCTCGGTAGCGAAGCGTTGTGGAAAGCAATGCTCGATTTCTGCGAATCCACCATCTCGCAAAAGGAGGCGGCGGAACGAGTGAGGGAGAGCTCTTCACTTTCCGCACCGATCCGTCGCCGTCGAGTCGGGGGCCGTAGCGGACAGTGTGAGCGTACGCCCTGCAGGAGGCAGTTTCCTCGCGGTGAAGGTCAAGGGGCGACCTGAGGGAATTGAGGCCGCGTGGCGCGCTACCATAAATCTAGCGCGCTACCAAGGAGCAATATTCGAGATAAAGGAGCAACCGATTGGCGGTGTATTGCGTCCCGACCCAGCAGGCTGGTTCTGGTTCAGTGGGGTATTCTGAGACATTAGCAGCACCGTCTGGGCGGCCCCACGGGCTGCCGTACTGAGACGGCCGACTTTTCAGAGCTTTCGATTTGCCTCGAATGCTCCGTCGGCCGGGCGTCCTTGTGGGAGGTGCGCCGTCTGGTTGTAGTGTTGACCGCGCTAACCCCCTTATCTGATCCGGGCTCTGACCTCGGAGGGAATCGGACGCTAGAGCGAAAAGTGCAGCGGAGTCGTTTAGTAGGTAGGGTCCTGAAAACATCCTTGAACCCGCGGTTTCGCAGTCGTGGACCTATCCCACATACCCCGCGCGCCCCCTGGGCGCGGGCACTTCGTAGGAGGTTCGGCCCCCGGCCGCTATCCAACGATTAGGTATCCAACCAAGCTTTTACTGTATATCAAAGGCATAAAAGACTTTCAATTTTTCTCTCTGGCATCTACAGTCCGCTTGATAATAATTGTTACTATTTCGACAAACTATAGAATATAATAATATTTCAATCATATTGATTCCTCACAAAATAATATTCATTGAACAAAAGCTTTCTTTGTTACAGCTATCATGAGACCTAACGAAGAGGATTGATGAAATCCAACTAATAAATAAAGAAGATGTACGCTAGAGGACATGCAGAGAATTTGAAAAGAGAAACCGTCAGAAAGAAAATTAATTTGAACATTTTAATGTTCAAATGGCTTAAAACTGTTGTTTGAGTTACTGTAGTGGGAACGATGACTAATGAAACGGATTCGAATTGGGTTCTTGGGAGTGAGGATGCTGGTGGTCTCGTTACTGGCTGCATAATACGGACGAGATAAAGGTGGGTTCGTAATCTATGATTTTTTAAATACCTAAAATGCTATTCAGATTATTTGGACAAAATCACATCGTCATCCAATAGAAACGGAAGCAAGAAAACTGCCTAGCATTTAGAGTATTGACGCACAACTTAAAGTGTTAATGGCCGAATAAATTCTTATTCATTCATGTGAATTCGCATATAAAAATGCCTTAGTTGATCCAATCGACTTGCAGACACAGAATTACAATGTATTGTAAGCTATTGAAAAACTTTAGACAAAGTATTTTTCATCGGCTACAGTTTCAAAGTAATTTCATTAGATATTTTCCGTAGCCACCTATGGATCGAGAAAACGTAACCCATCATGCAGTCAACGCGACTGTAAGCGCGACAATCAACGGGACGGCCGAAGAAGAGTATGACGTCACGCAGGGCGTGTTCTTCAAACTCCGGATGTCGGTGCTCCTGCTCATCGTTATCACGGCTGTGCTCGGGAACATGCTGGTCATCGTCAGTGTCATGAGGCACAGGTAAATGTTCTGGTCTGCGAACATTATTGTAAACATCAATCACCAAAGAAATTAAAAGTAAACTTAATATCATGTCTGAATTATTATTTTGTACTAGCTGACCCGGCAGACTTCGTAGTGCCTCAGTCAATAAATAAAATACTTTTGTATAAAATAAACTTAAAACAAACAATTCCATATTTATCTAAACCTTTTAAACCTTATCTGGACCTCCACAAATAATTCAAGAGGAAAATTAGCCAAATCAGTCCAGCCGTTCTCGAATTTTAGCGAGACTAATGAACAGCAATTCATCTAATATATAAAATTCTCGTGTCACAATGTTCGTTCCCATACTCCTCCGAAACGGCTCGACCGATTTTCGTGAATCTTAGCGTGCATATCGGTCAGGGTTGAGAATCGAACAACATCTATTTTTCATCCCCCTAAATGTTAAGGATGGTTCACCCCTAAATTTTATTTTTAATTTTTTTGACAAAAATTTTGGTTTTTATTTTTTTATGATACAGCATACAAAAATACATACAACCCTAAATTTTCGTCTCGCTACGATGAACCCTTATTTTTTATTTGCTAATTAAAAACTTTAATTTTTTTTTGCAAGAATGTTGTTTTTATTTTGTCATAAATTAAAATAAAAAATCTGATGTTACTCTCAATTTGTCATTCCTCTATGATCAACCCCAATTTTTTATTTGTTAATTATAAACTTTAATTTTTTTGGCAATAATTTTATTTTTTTGGTCATGACTTAAAATAAAAAAAATCATATTACTCTCAATTTTCACTCTTAAACGATCAACCCCTATTTTTCCATCCCGATTTTTTTTTTTTTATTCTATGCACAGATCCGCAATAAGGTTGCAAGATGGCAATCAAATATTATAATTGTAGTACGATAAATTCTTATTCAGAGTTTATAATTTCAAGTTCCTTTAATTATGATTTTTTTTAAATTCAATTTGATCTCCCGCCCTCGCCGGTCGATCTACTGATCAACTATCAATCGATCAGTTATCCCCGACAGGTGTCACCACTCATCCAGCAAACATCACGAAATAGGGATGAGGACGAAGCCGGTCTCCTGTCTTACTTACTCACATCATAGATTATACACTTAATATATTTGAGAGCTATACAATACTATACATTTTTCAGCCTTTTTTTGGTTTTATTTGTGTATCAATAGTATGTTCAGTAGGTCTGAGATTCGGTTACTATCTATTTTTCATACCCCTAAGTGATAAGGGTTGTCCACCCCAAACATTTATTTTTTATTTTTATTTTTTGGATAATTTTTTTGGTTATAATGAGGTATTATGTGGTTGAATGAGGTTTTTTCTTTCTACACTAGAATTTCCCTAGAAATCTTATTTAAGGCAACACAACGTTTGCCGGGTCAGCTAGTTTTTATATATACAGATTTGTGAGTCGGTACTACTAGTACTTTCTTTATTGTGCACAACGAATTCAATTTTGTGGAAATCGTCTGTACTTCATTTATAAAGAATGTTCATAACAAGAAGAAAACTGAATGTCCTAAAACAACTTTTTATAACTTATTTGTTAAAATAGTCACTAGACCATTTACAGCAGCCACGCTGACCTATCTTGAATTATAAGTATTATAAACTTCTTTATAACCTTCCCACGCATAATACTTTTAAATGGAAACATTTTGCCTTATAAATAAGTTTGCAGATTTCGAAAGGTCAAATGTCAACTATTACTTAGCAAGACTTCTTAATACATTTCAGATTTTTTTTAAATAAATTAGTTTTATTATGACTAGGGATCAATAATGTACGAGACATTTCACTTAACGTTACAGCTGCTACCCAACGAAATTATTCAGTACTTTTAGTGTTATACCTACTTGAATTTGTGTAGTTACAAAAGCTCCATAGATATCACTAATGATGTCACAAATCTTGAAACTTGCAATCAAGCTTTCACTTGGGTTTTGTATTGGTTACACGACCCTACTAGATTTTTTTTTAATGAATTACGTACTCAACAAATGTTCACGATTGACTTCCACGTTGAGAGACTAGCATCGTGTAATAAAAATGAAAATTATTATAATTTGCGTTATAGCTAGTGGTAGGACTTCTTGTGAGTTCGCGCGGGCAGGTACCACCACCTGCCTATGTCTGCCATGAAGCAGTAATGCGTTTCGGTTTGAAGGGTGGGGCAGCCGTTGTAACTATACTGAGATCTTAGAACTTATATCTCAAGGTGGGTGGCGCATTTACATCGTAGATGTCTATGGACTCCGGTAATCACTTAACACCAGGTGGGCTGTGAGCTCGTCCACCCATCTAAGCAATCAAAAAAATGTACCGCAACGATGTACTGACACTTTTTTTTACACCTATAGGAAGCTCCGCGTCATAACCAACTACTTCGTCGTATCGTTGGCTTTCGCGGACATCCTCGTCGCGATGGTTGTGATGCCGTTCAACTTCAGCGTCCAGTTTTACCAGGGATGGGTCTTCGGGCCGATCATATGCGATCTTTGGAACTCATCAGACGTCTACTTTACGTCCACTTCTATACTGCACTTGTGCTGTATATCGGTTGACAGATACTATGCCATAGTAAAACCTTTGAAGTATCCAACGAAAATGACAAAAAAGGTTAGTATCACAAAATAATTGGATGTTTGTACAATGACAGCAACTTCGAATGATCATTTTCGGTTGTCCCTATTGTTGATCTGGATGGCAAATATATTTTAACTTGTAAGCGTTAAAGTAAGGAGCTGTGGAATTGTTTTGGCCAATTTAGCAGTAACGAGCTTCGTTATATTTGGACGACCAACGGAAACTCATATCTAAAGGTCCCACAGCCCACCATAGTCAATATTGCTGTATCCTAATACACGTCAATACATCGAAATCTCGACGGCATTGAAATAACGACGAAAATAAAGAAAGGATTTCTTCCGAAATACATGATTGCTTTGCAGCAGCACCATAGATCCAATAGAAACGAATCAGAAGCGTATTTTAGAAGTGTAGTAACTAGACTTAGCTGTATAAAAATAGCAGTACCCTTGTTCTTGACTTTTCAAAGTATTTATTTCCCGTTTCACTGTCATCAACAAGGCTTTAAGACCAAACTTCGAAACGACCTCATGTTAAGTCTTAAAACAAATTATCTGCACTTGGGAGCTTTATTGTCTCACGCTGGTGAAGTTTTCCCATTCGATGGCCCATTAAATCGTGATACTGCCTTTTTAATTCCACTTGCAATGTAACAGTTCCTTAACTTTAAATGACTTGTTGCCTGTTTTATTGGCAAAGATTCCTGTTTTGTTGCAGGTGGCATTCATAATGCTGGCAGCGACGTGGTTAAGTCCGATCACGATATCTTACGTCCCGATTTTCATGGGATGGTATACGACGAACGATTACCTGCAAACAGCGTCGAGCGATCAGTGCGAATTCAAAGTGAACAAGCCATACGCAGTGATCTCAAGTTCTATATCATTCTGGATACCCTGTACGATCATGATATTCACTTACCTAGCGATTTTCAAGGAAGCGAATAGACAAGAGAAGGCTTTGCACGCTCGGGCTGGTAACGCTATGCTAATGCATCGACACTCAAGAGATGTGAGCGACAAAAATGGAGCTCTCCACATAAACGCGACGACACCGACCAAAGACAGGAATATCCTCAAAATGAAAAGGGAACACAAAGCCGCCCGAACTTTGGGAATTATCATGGGAGCATTTATTTTGTGCTGGTTGCCATTTTTTCTGTTTTACGTCTCGACTTCTTTGTGTGACACGTGCAAATGCCCCGACGTGGTCACGGTAATAATGTTCTGGACTGGCTATTTCAATTCCGCCCTTAATCCTATCATCTACGCGTATTTCAATAGGGATTTCCGTAATGCCTTCAAGAACACATTAGCGTGCGCTTTTTGTAGTTTCTGTAGACGCAATTCCTCAGATCTTGACGCGCTGGAGAGGCTCGACAGAAGGGGTTCCGCGCAATTACGCGTTCCTGTTGCTTCTAGGAGGGCATCAGATTTAGCGTCGCTTTGAGTAAAGACCAACAGTTCAGTGACAGTACTTTGAGAGGCTTTAGACTCAACGAAGACTTACTCGTGTAGTACTCACTCCAAATAGTGTGACTGAATTGTATAAAATTAAACGGATATTCGAACTTTGTATTCTACTGTAAATATTTTTAAGATGTAGTTTTTTTGTAATTAAAAGCACAACGGTTACTTGTCCTTGTTTTCGATTAGAACGTAAATATATTTATTTCTCAGCAAGTGTCCTTTATTTTTGTGTACAACCTGTAAATAGTTTGAGTTGGTTTGAGAATTGTAATGTAATTTTACGTAGTTTTGCGTGTATCGATGTAAAAATAGTGAACCGCATGTTCCTGGTTTTACCAAAAAGTATAATGTTATATCGTCTACACCTGTATAATGATAAATTGCTCTATCATTCCATGTAAATTGTAAAATCAGTTTTCTATTGAGTCGTAAGACTATTGTAAATATGACAATCTCGAAAAATATTACATTCGACGTAACGCTACTACTAAGGCCTAAATCACTTATAAAAATCAGTGGCCATGAAAATAGACATTTTAATAAATCTTAAACGTCTTAATAATATGTGTCGTGAAATAAAATTAAACAATTAGTAAAAAAATAATTGATATTATAAATCGTAAATTAATGTAACGAATATTAGTCAAAAAGCTTAAAATTAATATTATTTAAATTAAGCCTAATCGTATTCATAAATAAATAAAATGTGTGTAATTTTAACTTTAAAAAATAAGAAGATAGACATTATTTAGTCAAGTCATTTCTAAAATATTTTTTCGTTCATAATTAATACATAACTATTAGGATCGATATAAAAACCAATATGAATGTGCCTATGAGTTTATAAATTTAGAGTCATAGAGTTTTTTAACAATAATCATTTTTATTTAACAATCAAATGACATTGATTAGTTTTAAATTAAATTGCATCATTTTTCATATCATTGCTAGTGGATCCGACAGACGCACTTCTTAAATATGAAAACTTCGAACTATATTAATGAAAAATTATTTAAAAAAAATCATTTTGTAGCAGATCAAATTAGCATTTCCGAATCCACCGGAACACACACAAAAAAACTATCAAAATTGGTCCAGCCGTTTATGAGAAGTTCATTCGCATACGCACCGAAGAATTAGTTATTTAAAAAGGGGAACCCACAGGGGTTACGACATCAGATATCATCATCTTCATGAATTTTGTTCAGATACAAAATAACACCACAGATAGCTAATTAAAGTCGTCTTTAATGATTTTATGATTCTACAAATTACAACTAACCACAGATGAATAGGATGGGATCGGATGTATTTCCTGAGATAGCTCCCTCTCCTCATACTAATTCAACTGACTTTATCAACATTGCCCTCCCACGTGACGAAGACGACCATAGACAAGCAACCGTCACTGACGTTGACGTTCTGTAAGTTTGGCAGCTGACAGGATGAATGTTCTCACGAGTGACAATGACATTCGGTCCATGTAATACCTTGCTAAGCTTAGCACGTTGCGATATAATAATATAAAGTTAGTTGATGACTTTGAGAGAAAACTGTTTGAATTGTTTTTTTGAGTTGACAATGTGAATTGTTTTAAACTCTCGCGGCTATCTACAATACAATGTTATATACATTATACAAGTATTGTAAGAACCCCTTAAATAATAATAATAATAATCATCATCATTATCATCATCAGCCCACTGCTGGAAATAAGCCTCTCCCAATCCACCACCCCACTGAACCCGGTCTTCGGTTCTTCTCATCCACCACATTTATTGCATGTGTTACCGAATGCTAATAGTTAGCAGTTTGTTGGCAGCAAATATGTTATTACATTATTACATTTAATTACCTACTACATTATCATTTCATTCTCCATACGGTATAATATAAAATTGTAATAACACGAGAAACGAAGCAATATTTTGTAAATAATTAACTGGTAAATAAAATGTAAGTATTTAATTTAAGTAATTCGTAATTAAATTTAATGTAATTCGTTTTAATATTTGAATAGGAAGATACTATTATTAAAATGGGGACAAATAACGCTTCAATAGAAAATGAAAATTGATATTAAGTATTATCAAAGTTGTATGATTAACTTATTGTAATGAAATCCTTTAGATTTGGTGTTTTGGTGTTGTGTCGAGTTATAATAAATAAATAAAAAATAATAAACAATTTCCTAACCCTTAAATCTATGAAGATTGCTTAGAACTCATTGGTTAATAACAAATAGAAAATCTTAAAAATCAATTGCAACATTTCGTACCGTTGCCTATAAAGGTGCGATGGATTTTAAATTTAATATCTTTTACATTTAAGGGTCATCTATTTTGGCTTGTTGTCATTTTTTTCATTAAAATTGATTTTCATTTCAGTGTAAGAAATTTATTTCTGATTTTTAAAACGATATTGATGAATGCGATTCCAATGCAATTCAGCTAATAAAGTTTAATGACCCTTAAAATTTGAGGTAGGCTATTTTTTATTATGTCTGTCAATAAACTTGATTTCTTCTTAGAGGCAAGTGATTTGCTTAATAACATTTTGTTAACCAACAAGTTTGATATATTTATGTTATTACAATTAATTCGGTTTATTTTAAATAATAACACGCATCAAAAGACATAAGTTCGAAGTGCTAACAAAGCTCCGTGCAATCCCAAATATTTCGAAAGGAAAATAAAATCCATTAAAAAGTAATTTCCTTTTTGTGTCTAACTCTTTTGTTTTTATTTGCAATTTTTTTATAAACTTAAAATGTATCCTGTTAGCTTGCATTTCCGCGATCTTCTGATTAAACTCTAAATCACTGAACTGAAAACTAACATTCGATTTGGTGATTTAGCAATATCGCTATTGTATAGTCAATGTGTCTTCCTTTTGAATAAGCAATTAGGCTCAATTTGTGTGTAAGATTTAGTGTACGTATATGTGTAGAATAGCCAATTTTGAAAGTGTCTGTTTAGCTAGTTGAGCAGTTATACTATTCGAGTATATTATATAGAAGTGTATTTATCTATAGGTGTGTCCGGCGTCGCGTAGTGCCCAATTCCGGAGTACGTCAGGCTGTAAATGTGAGAAAAAAAAGTAATAATATATGGTTGTGACTTCTGTAGATACTACAACTAATTTTCTAGTGATGTTTTATCGAAATTCTAACTTAAAATCTCACCTTATGAAAAACCATTAAGCTGATTTTTGGGAATCTAAAACTGTTTTGTGTAACATTGTAACTATAGCCTTAGATCGGGATTTACATGAAGAAATTATATGTCATAAAAAAGGCTTTGGTACAGCTTACGCAACTGCACCTAAAATTTTTGAACTTTAAAAGGAATTTACGTCACGCTCAGTTCAATATAACGGAACTAATAAAAAGACCGACCCGGTCATTGTTTCGCGAAAGTGGCGCGTCCTATATCTGGGGGGTTGTTTGTGCAATATCAAATTTGGATGCTGACGGGCGTAATATCAGCAACACCGCGGATTTCATGACTCAGGAGTTGCTATATGAACTAATAAAAATTCAAGTGGAATATTCAATACGAACGTTTTCAAAAAGCAATTCGCCCCTGATTCTGAATACAGTTTCATAACAGATATTAATTGGGTAAAAACAGAGAGTATGTAAGAATTAGTAGCCAGTACAGCGATAGATTAAGTAAAATCTACTACAAATACAATTAACAACGCTGTGTAAATTTAGATTGATAACGCTATCGGAATTAAGGCATCTGCCACCAAGACAGCTACAACTTACTCACATTGGAAACGAAATTGAGCAGTATTCACCAATTCCTTTTACATGTATCTATTTGAAAAGGCTTAAGCTTAGTACAAAGTTGTTGAATAAACGATTTGAAAATTTAAATGGAAATCCGCTTTATCGAGTAGTAAATAAATCGAAGGTAAAAGTAATCCAATAGTTCACTGATGGACACATCATATCTATTATTAATATTAAGCCATACACAAAGAATATTAGTGACAACAATACTCATTTAAAATCGAAAGAAGCTTAGAGAAATGTCACTACGAGTACTTTGCCTAAAGTCGATAGGAACATTTTTTCTAATAAAGCTGAAAAGAATCAGGCCAACAACCTATTAATAACAAACCCTTCTAATAGAAGTACATTGTAAAATGCAACAACTTTTACGCAAATTTCAACTAACAATCTCTTAAGCCTTCTTTTTCAATCAAGCCTAATTTATTTTATCCGTACCCATTCTGTGTATGTTTTTTTTTACAATCCGTCCATTATTTTGTTAATTGTCACCTTTCCTTTTGCTATCTACGATTTTTCAAATATGTAGCAAAGTAGCTCATCTTGTAGTGGATTTAAATATAATGTAAATAATAATCCCAAAATGTGATTCCTTACTTCCTATCTAAATTAAATGTGCTATCTTTCCACGTTCTGTGTTAAAATATATTGTCTTCTGTGGATACTTAATACGTAAAACGTAATTAAATCGTTAGTAATTAAATGTAATCAAATCAGTAGATTCATTTCTGTAGCTTACATTGACTAGTGATGGATGGTAATTAAATTTGATAATTAAACGCAGCAATATATAATTTTAGTGAAACTAAATGTAATTTACGTAGATTGATATTATAGTTTTAGCTTTTATGAACGTTCTTTTGCTGTTCTGTGTATTAACAGTGTTTTCGAATTAAAACTAAATTATTTTAAGATTAAGAGATTTAAAATATTATTTACTTTAAATTAACGATTATTTATTTCTGTTGTATCCTATTTGAACTGTGATAGTTTAACTGTTTTAAATTATACGTTTTTTGTTGAATTATAATGTAATTTGTTTTCAAGTAATAGATGCAACGATAATTTCACTGGCTTACGCACGTGAATTTGTGAACTTAAAAAAAATATATGCAAAAAAAATAATTAATTAATTAATTCAAATATCGTCATCAGAAACAGAATGAAAAAGGAAGCCAACAAAATTATTGTTCGTTTCTTATATCTTCTTTTCTGTTATTGTGCAAATCCCAGTGTTATTATCTTGATGCATTAATTTAATTACATTGTTATAATTATTAACAGCGTTATCACTATTATTAAGACTTGTAAATATTTGTTTTATCTGTCGTTTTTGGGGTGACCGAAATAGTAAATTTTTATTGATTATTTGATTAATCATTTTAAATTGGATTCGTGGATTTGGAGTTGAATGAAAATGCTATTGTCATCACAGGGTTTTGCTGTCTTTCTTCTACCGGTATGAAGACAATCAAAAGATAAATGCTATCGATATTATTTAAATTTAATTTAAGAAGTATTAGCGTTCAGAATTTTCAATGCGGTAGTATATCTTAAAATTTTGTAATTGCCACAACTTAAAGGACTTAAAATAGATTTCAATCAATCAAATGAACAAATATTAGCAGAACCTCCAATTAGCAAACCAATGATTTCAAAGCACTTGACAGGGTGGTGAGAGCATTGAGTCTACGATTTCTGATTATG